TCGTTGTGTTTGAAAGTTGTGGACCCCAGCACATGTTGCCCTGTTTCTTTCAGTATGCGTGTGGTTACAGTTGTTACAGTCCCTTTTTTGGTTTTGTTGTTAGGTAAAATTTACATGTATGTTAAGATCCACCATATATAATAACAAGTGTGAAGTGTACCAGTGCGTTTTGAGAGATGACAGCTTCTTGAAGTCATCTCTTCATCTCCAGCAGAGCAGACGTAGGAGGAAGGTGTGGTGAAAGAGGTCTCAGGTGGTGACGACCCTGGGTCAGTGGGAGGGAGTTCTGCAGCAGTAGGCCTCAGGCCAGCCCTGGAGGAAAAGGAAGAGACAGTATATTGGCCTGCCACAGACAGGGCAAAAGAGTCACCTTTGTCTGGCGGATGTGATAGACCCAGAGAATGCTTCTGCGACATAGCCTTTGTCTTTGGGGGTGTCTGCCTAGGTCTTCCTCCCTTTGGTTGACATTCTATAGTCCTGGAAGCTTGTGGAGGTTGGCAACTTCATCTTCTCTTCAGCCCAGGCTCTTTGTGCAGTTTGAACAGTGACCACATGGTGGTGGGTTTTCTTCTTGGGAATACTGAGGGATCTTGTAGAGGCTCTGTTTTCTCTAGCTTTTTTTAGATCACAGATTCATTCCTTGCATGTCTTCACTTCTGTCCTCACACAGCATATTTCTTTTTGTTCTTTTTATGAGTTTATCCTATAGAGCCAAGCCTTTTTTTAGCATGTTGGCTGGGTGTAGTGATTGAACATTGGCATATTTTACCTTTGTTTGTTCTTGCGGCTAATACCTACCTGCAGGTCATCTTTCAGATCAGTTGCTGAAGATGACTTTGTAGTGATGACCATTTTTATTTTTAAAGATTTATTTATTTATTTCTACAAGCGCTGGGTATAGTCAGAAGCACGGGAGGGTGAGAGAATTCACCAGAGCGGGGAACAGAACAGGCAGACCGATGAAATACACTGCTGAGGGGAGCAGTGGGCGCGTCAGGAGTGGTCTGTCATACCATGTGGGACCCTCGCTGCAGGCCGAGGATCAAACCGGAGCTGCAGAGGCTGCGGGCAACTTCGCAGCCCAGCGCTCAACCGCTGCGCCACCAGGGGAGGACCGTGATGATCATTTTTAAGGCTCAGCAAGATTTTACATTCATCTTCTTGAAGCCATCCACGGGCCTCTGTCAGCTTTCATACTTCTCCATACAGCTCATGCCTAAATTGTTTCAAGGATTTTCTGGCCAAGTTAGATTCTCTCTCAGTTGTGTGTTACCATCTGACTCATGTAAATGTGCCCCTTTCCCCACATTATTTACTTTAAAAAAACTTGAAACAGATAAAGTCAGAGAACACTATAGTGCTTACTCTAGTACCTACCACCTAGTTACCATTTCACCTTATTTGCTTTACTTACTATGTGAAGATAAGCGTGTATGTTTGCGTTTCTTTTGAACCAATCCCAAATTGTAGCCTTTGTGTCTCTTTTTCTGTGGATTTTATCATTGCTCTTCTTAACAGGTAGGATGGTGTTGCACTTAGAGACAGTAATTACCCAATTGTATTTAATAGCTCATAATTAAATTTGCTCTGTTGACTTAAAATTGAAGAACAATTTTGGAACCAGGATTAATTCAACATTTATGTGATAAATTTGTTCTAAGTTTGCCTAATCTTTTAAAAAAATACAACTTTTTTTTTAAAATACTTTTTTCAAAAAAGATTTATTGATTTATGCATATAAGAGCTGGGATGTAGGCCAGAGTCGCGGGGTGGGGGGTAATGGGGGGATGTGAGAGGAGTCACTAGGGACAGTGGGGAGCAGAACAGGCGGATCTGCTGAAATACACTGCTGAGGGGAGCAGCAGGGAGACAGGAGAGGTTTGCTGTGCCATGTGGGTAGCTCCCTGGCTGGGGATCAAACTTGTGCCTCAGTAGCTAGTCTTAGCTTGATGTCCTTGATAGCGCAGAGACTTTAACCCCTGTGCCACGAGGGATGCCCCAGCACTTTCTTTTCTTTTAACCCCTCTTAAAGACTAAGGGATGAGAAGCTAGAGAGAGGGACTTTAAATTGTTCTTGTGTTTAAAGTTACTTCTCCAAATCCTAACTGAAAGCCTGTTATTCTGCCCTCCTTCAGCTGATCGCTAATGCAGTTGTTTCCTTTACCCGAGGTTTCACTGTGCTTGGTTTCAGTTACTTGTGTCAACTGCAGTCTGAAATATGCACAATAAAATGTTTTGAGAGGGACACACCCATGTAGCTTTTATTGTAGTATGTCAGTATAACTTCTAGTTTTTATTAGTCATTGTTGTTAGTCTCTTGCTGTGCCTAAGGTATAGATTAAAACTTAGTCACAGGTAGTATATGTAAGAAAAAACATTCTTGGCTTTGGTGCTCTTCCTGGTTATAGGCATCTAGGCCAGATCTTGGGACCCATTCCCTGTGGATAATGGGGCAGGGAGAGGGGAACTGTTGAAATTAGGTGTATTCAGATTTTGGCTTTGTTTTTATTTGAGTTAATATGGTGGTTAATGAATTGCAGAATAAATTAGGGAATCCTGGGAGGATCTTTTCTCTCTTCAGAATCTTGTCTCTCTTCAGAGATGGAGATCAGGAGCTAATTACCTGGTTTGCACACACAGACTACATGACAGACTACAGCTGTCAGCTCTGAAAAGGACCTCCAGGACCGACCCAGTCCCTTGGACTGAGCACTTTCTTTCCATTTTTTAAAAAAGGGCCATTTGACACTAATCCATATCCCGTGAGTTACACATTTTCTCTTAGCTTTACAGTAAGCAAAATATATGTGCACTGCTAACTACACTTCAATCGTGTAATTAAAATTTTAATGCTTATCAGTATTTTTGCTGTGCAGCTAATTTTTTAAACTGGAGATATAATTTATGCACAAACACATTAAATGTTCATTTGGATGAATTTTGACACTTTCCTGGAACAAAATACCAAACACGTTTATCATTCCTGAAGCTCTCCATCCCTCTATTAATCATACCCCTTTTCTGATTTCTGTCACCATAGGGAAATTTTCTTTTTAGGTATCAAAAATGAGATATAGCATGTGTCTGTTGTCTCAGAAGGTCAACATTTTTGGTTTGAGATACCTCCAGTTTTTTCCTTTCAAAACCGACCAGTAAGTTTATGTGCTTGTATTATCCTGGTGATGAACATTTGGATTACTTACCATTTTTTGGCTGTTAGGAACATAAGATTGGTGAATATTTTTTACAGGTCTTAGTGGAGGCATATGTTTGCAGTCTCCTGGGGTGAGTTGCTGGACCCTGTGAGAGATGTATGTGTGAATTACATGAGAGGTTGTTGCCTGATACTTACAGACCGTGTTTGGCACTTCACCATGTTGGCTGTCCTGGTGACAGTGAAATTGTATGTTGGACTGTTGAGAGCTTTTGTGGAGGTAACGTCTGTATATATTAAAGGTCATCCTTTTACACGTACAAGTGATACAGTTTACATGAGTGTATGCAGATGTACTGTTCCACCAGTCAAGTGATGATTACCTTGAAAGTTTCCCTTGTTGGTCTCTGGCCATCACTGATTGGTTTTCTGTCACTGACAGAATAGGTCTTTACTGGAGTTCTCTCTCAGTGGACTCATACAATGTGTATTCTTGTGTCTGGCTGCTGTGCCATGTTGGCATTTTTTTGAGATTTGTCCCATATTGTGTATATGAGTCGTCGCATCCTTTTGGTTGCTAAGTAGTAGTACATTGTGTGGACGCACCATAGTTTGCTGATGGACTTTAGGTCATTATGAATCGAACTGCTTTGAACACTGCAATCCAGAGGTGTGCTCTTACCCTCTCTAGAGAATAAACTTCTACTCTCAATTAGGATGGAGGGTCAGGAAGGCGGGCTGGCCCTATCACTGCTTACTAGATAGACTCTCAGCCACTCTTCCAGATTGTAGTCCACCAGCAACAAGCACTCACTGGTTTCTGAATTTTGGGGAGGTACTTTTTTGTGTTATGAGTTTGTTAACCTTCTTCACTGGCTGGGAGTTCAGTCTTTGAGTCTGCTAAATCATTATCCACTTCTGCTTTTCAGGTTTCAGAAAGCCTTCTATTCTTGATCTGTGTAGCTTTTTGTCTTTTCATTTATTAATCTGCTTTAAAGATTTTTATTTATTTTATACAAGCACTGGGTACAGTCAGAAGTGTGGGAGGGTGAGAGAATTCACCAGAGCCAGAGCAGGGAACAGAACAGGCAGACCGACGAAATACACTGCTGAGGGGAGCAGCGGGCGCGGCAGGAGAGGTCTGCGTGCCATGTGGGACCCTCGCCGGCGGCCAGGGATCGAACCAGCGCTGCAGAGGCTGCAGGCAACTTCGCAGCCCAGCGCTCAACCGCTGTGCCACCAGGGGAGGACCTATTAATCTGCTTTATTGTCATTTTCATGTCATTTTGGTGGGGACAAAGGTGGACTTACGTGTTCAAACCTACTATCTTAACCCAGAAGTCTTTATTGTAGGGTGTTTAGTCAAACCTTGGCCTTTGATAGATCTGCCTCACCTTTTGCAGCATTGCTGAACATGCCTTATGTTGTTTTCATTCAAAACCCTGCTTATTTCATTAAAACTATTTCCTATAAGTGGAATTGTGGCATTGAAATAAATCTTAATGTCTGATTGTGCCCCAGAAAGACTGTGCCCACTTATGTTCTGACTGACAGGTATTTGTTTTCCTGTTCCTGTTTGAGTATAAGTTCAGTGGAACTTTCTCTTGCTTCCCCCCTACTTCCCCCCCCACCCCACACACACACAATTCTTGCCCCCAAAGTATAGGAAATGAAGTCAAAGCATAGTGGAGGATAGACAGGGCCATAGGGCTGTGGGGTCTTGTTTACAGTCAGCACAGGAGACATGGCCCATTCCTCACCTCACACTGGACGCCTTCCCCTGTGCTTGGCCCAGGGTTGGGTGAATGTGGGTTTGAACTAAGGCCATTGGGCTTCTCTGTTTCAGGTTATACTCCTGGCACACCTTACAAAGTGTCCTGTTCCCCCACCAGTGGGACCGTGCCACCCTACTCCTCTTCTCCCAACCCCTACCAGACTGCCGTCTACCCCGTGCGAAGTGCCTACCCCCAGCAGAGCCCGTATGCGCAGGTAGGTGTGTGGGACCCTGACGGTGCCCGGAGGCCACGTGGATGTGGGTCTGTCTGGGCTCCGACTTGCCGGGGGGGTAGCAATTGTTTCTTTTTTCCCCACAGCAAGGCACGTACTACACACAGCCTCTGTATGCTGCGCCCCCCCACGTCATCCACCACACCACAGTGGTGCAGCCCAACGGCATGCCGGCGACGGTGTACCCTGCTCCCATTCCTCCGCCTAGAGGCAGCGGGGTCACCATGGGCATGGTGGCCGGGACCACGATGGCCATGTCTGCAGGTGAGTCTTTGGCCCCAGGGTGCCTGCTCTGTGCTGGCGTGCCAGCAGGGAACGGGGGGGGGTAGGAGGGGGGCGCTCGCTGGCCCTCACCCTGGGCTTTGATTGGTCACAGCAAGTTGTGTGGGAAGCACGTGGTTTCTCTTTCTCTCCACTCCTTTCCTGCCTCTTCTTTTTCCAGTTGAGACTGGAATGTGGAGTTCAGAGCCTCAAACCATGGCCCTGGGCCCTTCCCCTGAGAGCATGACTGGGTCCGAGAGCCAGATCACTTGGCAGCGGGCGTGAGGAGTGGCTGGACCCTGCGAGCGCCTGAAGTTTGAGTAGAAAGGGAGACTTGGTCCCCAGAGGAGCTGGTCCTTGTAACTCCCCTTGTGTGTGGGCTGCCTTTTTGGGCCAGTTTGTCTGAAACCTCCAGGACGTTTTCATACATGTAGGAAAGCTGGTATGTGCGTAGAGACACAAGGTACTTGGAGAACTCCTTTGACCTTCATTAACTTTAGTTCCTGACGCTCCCCTCATGAGAGTAAAGCAAGAGAGGGGAGGACCCTGATGGGGATGGGCGCGGCTCTGGGGACCCGCCCAGGGCTTGAGTGGGTCTCTAGGGATTAGGTTACCTCCTGCGGGCGTGAGTTGTCCTCAGCTGGGCATCAGGTGCATCGAATGCGCTTTGTTGTTCACGACTGGTATGAAAGCGTGTTACCTCTTTGTTTTCCTAGATTTCGCCGCAATGCCGTGGCAAAGAGATGTTTCAGGATTCGGTGTGCATTTGTGCTGAGTATCTGTTTCCTTTGGTTTTCCATACTTGTTGCGGAGGCACAGACAGAAACTGCACATTTGAGACACGTGGAGTGAGGGATGCTGAGTCTTGGGACGGACGGGCAGGGGCTGATGTGGCTAGGTCTGGCTGAGGAAGGAGTTGCTAGATGAGGTTATTATGTTCGAGGTTGTGCCTGTCCATGATTGGGCGCACATGGTCACTGAGTTTTCCACGCTTACGGGGAAAATACATTTCTCTCAAACTGCTTGGAATCTCATATAGTTTAGAATCTTCTCTGTTTTTGAAAAGTGTGTGGCTGAATGGTGTTAAGTACATCCCTGCTATTGTGAAACAGCTCTCCAGAACTTTCTCATCTTGTGAATGGGGATTAAACCAAAACTCCCCCTTTTGCCTCTTCCAGCCCCTGGTTGGTACCCATAATTTTACTTCCTTTCTGAATTTGGCAACTCTAGCTGCCTCAGCTAAGTAGAAGCATACAGTGTGTCTTTTTTGTACCTGGCTTATTTTACTCAGCATCATGTTCTCAAGGTTTATCCCTGTTGCATGTGTCAGAACTTCCTTTCTTTTTAAGGCTGCATAATCATTTCTTGTTCTGTTGTTTCTCTGATCTGCAAAAATCATGCATGTCTGAAGGAGAGGCACAGAGGCTTCCACAAAAAGTACCTGTATGAAGTTGCTGTGTTTCTGAGACATTGAGTTGTACATAATCGGAGTTCCGACAGGACTCTAGGTGAGGTCTGTCTACTACTCTGTCCCTTTCCTTTTGCAAGGAGGGCCAGGCCTGGACTCTTGTCAAAGGTGGCGTGACCCTGGAGCATATGATGATGTAAAGCCGACCTGGTGTGTAGGCCGCGCTGCGTGCCGCTAAGACTCGCTGCTCTTCCTTCCAGGTACCCTGCTGACTGCTCACTCGCCAACTCCTGTCGCCCCACATCCAGTCACTGTGCCCACGTATCGGGCCCCAGGAACACCCACGTACAGCTACGTGCCCCCTCAGTGGTGATCTCCCTGCATAGGTAAGTGCCCAGTCAAGCCTGAGGTGACTCTTTTTTCCAGTGGAAAATGACAGATCTTACCGTGTCCTGAGTGCTCATGAGAAAAGCGCCACCTGTTGACCAAGGGCAGTGCAGTGTCTACATTTTTGTTCTTACTGGGACTACAAAATAGGAGAAGGGTAGAAACCACTGAGTCCTGGGTGTGTGCACTCAACATTTGGTTCCTTCTGTGGACGGGGTTTCATCGCCCCACCTGCAGAAAGAGGTGACATCTGCGGAACCAGCACGGTGGCCCTTCCTCTCCTTCCTTCCTGGTTCTTGTGGTTGCCTCCTGGCTGGGAACACCTCCTCTAGGGATCGTGTAGCAGAGGAGCCCTGTGTAACTGCGTTCTGTCTGTCTTCTCCCTAGGTTTGAGGATGGAGCTGTGCGGTCACATCACGGAGGTTACACAGCTGGTGCTGCAGGCCTCGCGCCTCCAACCAGGACTTTCTTCTTAATGCTCTCAACACTTAGCTAAACACTACTACGCCCGGCCCAGCAGGTCCCAGCGCCATTAGTCTCCAACTAACTCTGTGGGTTGGTCTTAAAGCAAATCCTGTTTTGTGGGTTGCCTGGCAATTTTTTAGCTAACTATAATGATTAAAAAGGGAGTATTAATCTATTCTGAATCATATCTAGTTGAATGCATGTTTAAAAAAACAAACACAAAAAACAAAGCTTGCTCAATCTACCTGCAGTGACTGATGCAAAACCATCATATGCAAAACCCAAAGGAATGGAAAAGTATTTTACAATTTGTATCACTAATGCACTGTTGCAATGTATGCAAAGTCTTAAAGTTATAAGTGTTAACGTGAATTTCTTCATAGAGCATCTGAAATCTCTTAGATGATCCTTCAACCCTTTGGGGTTGATTTGGGTTGCCAGTTGGAGCCACGGACTTTTTGTTTTCTGCCATCTGTTCCTTCTGCACTGACTGGAGGGGGCTCCGGGGCTGGAGTGGAGGTAGGCTGCAGCTGCTGGCGTGCGGCCGGGCATCCCTTCCTTCCCACTTCGACTTGCGGGGTCGCTGTCATGTGGACATACTCACAGAGGATCACGAGAGATTGGAGTTGTGTGGCCAGTACATTTCGGGGTGAGAGGTGGTTTATGTATCAGCAAAGCAATTTTCTCTGTTACTTAAATTTTTGTTACAAATCTCTTACAGGTAGAGGTGATGTTTTCTGTATATGGAAGACGTCCTCTGTAGAGCTAAATTATTTTCCTGGGATGGAAGATACATGAAAGAGAAGCAACCATTCTTGGAGAAGTGTTGGCCTCTCTCTTATTTAGCTTAGAAAGTCATTCCTTTTCTTTTTTCCTGAGAAGTGTTTGAGTCAGCTGAAAACATGGAGGCGTTTCTGGTTTTTCCCCACAAACAAGGGCCAGTTTCAGCTGTGTGTTGTGAAGAAAGTTGTATATTTAAGGACTATTACAAGGGAACAAAATTTTATTTGAATTAGTCATTTCTCCGAGAGAGGCAGTGCAGTTGACTGGCCCTGTCCATGGGATGGGTTTGTCCTGTGAGCCTGTCTGAAGGTCTTGGAGATGGTGTGGGCAGCTGAGGGAAGGGCTGATGCCTGTTGTCGGTGGACCTCTTCTGCCGTCTCTTCTGGCAGCTGAGGGTACTCAGTACCAAGCAAGCATGGATGGCAAGGAGCTGGGCAGTAGAGAATGCATTTGCCTGCCAGAATTTATTATGAAAAGGATTTTGTGTTTAAAATCTGAATTTTGTACATAAGAAATTAAGAGGAATCTTTAGCTTAAATGTGCCCAACTTGTATCGATGGAATTGTGTTACCTGTTCTCAGAGGGGGTGGGGGAAGTGAGGGTTTTCTTCTCTTTCAGCATCTGTCAGGCAGGATGGGTGTGCCCCTGTTCCTCCCCATCTTTGTTTCAAGTGTGGGCTTTGGTTGGGGGGTGGGGGTGGGGGGAATCTGCTCTTCTGTCTCTGGCAGCTAGCTCAGGACTGTGGCGCTGGTTTGGCATTCAGCCCCGATTAGTGAGTGGGGCACCTGACCCCTGAGCCTTTGGTAACCTATTTTATACAGTAACTATTCTTCATAATTTTCATTTTCACATTTTCTTTTACAAGAAATTTAGGGATATTTTTTGCATGGATCATTGTAAACAGAAGATTTCCTTATTCCTAATGCCCATTAGCATAGTGTGTTTACTGGTAAGTACTTTAAATTGCTTCATGAGCACTTAATCCATGTGTGCGCGCGGCTGTGTCTGTGTGAGAGAGAGAGCGTGCATGTGTGAGCAGCCATTTGTCCCAGGTACACAGTTTGTGTCCACGTCTTCAGCTCTGTTGGCATTTCCTTCTGTGTTGTGGATGATCTGTAATACGAGTAGGTTCTAAGGATCCCAGGGGCTGAACTACAGAGAAGTTAGTTGCCCATTTTAGTGATAATAGAATAGGAGAAAATACAGGTTTAATATGTGCTTAAAATAAAAGCCCTGAACAACAGCATGGGAAAAGACACGTGTGCACACGTAGGAGACCGGGTGAAGCGGGTGGGGTCATTGGAATTCAGGAGGAAGGTATAGGAAGTTACATGGGATGGTTCTTCAGTTTCGCACACCCTGGGTGAGTGTCTCCACGGGCACTGACTTTAAAGGATGTTTTCAAGAGAAGGAAGGGTGGGTTGCACCCTCATCCCTCCCTCCCTCCCTCCCGCCCCCCCCCATTTACATCAACTTCATAAACACTTTTCTCCCTATAATTTTTTTCTGACTCTTTTTTACCTTTTGTGAATCTGAGTTGGGAGACTTATCAATACTTTCACATTACAGATGTGGGTATCTCTGCAGCTTTGAAACTTGGGGCATAAGCTATCAAATATGAAAGGTAAGATCTTGTCTGGCAGTTAGAATCTGGACATAAGAATAGTAACGAAACTATCATAGGTTGTAATTTGAGCAACATTTAGTTCCACTAAAATTAAGGAGTAGAACTTCTGTTACAAAGTTGCATAATTTACTATCCCAAGCACAATAGTGGAGCACTCAGAGAAACTTTTGTTCTGTGTGTCATTCCTAATTTCAGTCTTTCAGCTGAATTATGGTTCTTTCAAAAGTTGAGACAGGCAAGCAGGGACCTAATTCTTGTAAACATGGACGTCATCATGGAATCACAAAATTTTGTGCTGCAACCTCTTGTTTAGTTTGGAGGTCTAGTTTTCTCTCTGGGATTCTGCTTGGGTCTGGCAGTGACTGGGTGTCATCGAGGAGCAGTGTCCACGCCGTGAGCTTGCAGCCTCTGAGCAGTGAGGTCAGCATCGGGGCCATTTGTGTTAACAGGCACAGGGCACTTCCAGACATTTCTGTCTCTTGTGTGACCTGTTTCCGGTACATGCTTGTTGGTTTAGTTTTAGGTCCGCCACTTGCTTTTCTCTACTGTTCCTTGAGTGCTATGCAAATGTATTTATAGGAGTGAGAGTTCCTGGGTTGGGCCCCTGTTTGGTGCGTGCCCTGCCCTTCTTCAGCTGGGCAGATAGATGCTGCTTGTTCATCTGGTGGCTCCACTCTTCAGTGAGAGGAAATCTAAGGCACTTTGGTTGCATTAGTATTTGGCAGCATTGTCCCCACGTGGTATCTGTGAGCGCCTGCAGCGGTGGTGAAAGGATGGCATGTACCAGAGGAGCCAGTATTGTGGCCTAGACTCCACCTCTCCTCTGTACATACTTGGAAACAAGTGTTTCCAGTTGGGCCACATCGTCAGGCAGTTAACGGCTGGACATCCCAGTCACTGCCATTGCTTAGGACAGGATGCCTCGCTGACCTTCCAGTGGGCACAAATGCAGGTTTGAGGTTGTGTGGCCCGAAGTGGGAGGCAAGTTCTGGTTCCTCTCTTTAGTGCTTTTTTGGGGGTGGGTGTTCTCTAAAGAGGAGTGTGGTTGGCTGTGGGTGGGCAGGCTGCTTAGCTCACCTCTCTTGCACATCTCAGATGTTTGTGTGTTTGCCCTGAGCTGTTCATTATTCAACGGGCACTTCCTGAAGGAGTAGCGAATTTCTGGCTAGACTGCAGAAGACATGTGGAGGAGGGAGTTGTCTTGTTTGTGAGAACGTTGCAGCGTTGGTCTTACTGTTTTAGAGAATTGGGCTCTTTGGGCTCTTCATTTGAAAAACAAAACCTGTGGGGTCACCTTGAGGCCCCAGGACTAAAGCCAAGTCATGGGGGACAAGGACGCAGGAGAGGCAGGTGTCTGTGTAGGGAGCCCATGGTAAGCTTGAGGAGGGTTCCCCTTGACTGTGTGCTGGAGGACGCTGAACTCTGCTGGAACCCCTTCCTCCTGTGGGCTCAGCCACCGGTCTCCCTGGGCCCAGTGATCCGTAGATTAGTTGGGCTGGATCTGAGCTGGCAGCCCGGTAGGGTTGCTGTGGCAGCCCCAGGAGAAGCCCAGAGGCCCACATGGGTTGTGTGGCTGACCAGGAAATAAGGTTACTTTATTTTCTTTTAATGATTTTTTAAATATTGGTTTTTTTTAGACCTGTCTCTTGGTACTTTTTTTAAGCTTGAGTCAAAATTGTCTTCCAGTGTTACAGGCACCCCTCACCTTTGCATTGAACTTACCATGTCAATCAGTATAAAAGAATGGAACATCCATCCTGAGCCAGTTCCATTACGTGTAAATTCATACTGTTTTAATTTTTTATGCAATCTGATGAATAGATCAGCTCAGATTTAAAATTCTTAAAAGCACGTTTATTGTAACAAGAATTGTTATGTATTAATACTGCAGTTTTCAATAAAGATTGACTTGTGTTGCAGATTGTGGTTTTCATGATTTTTCCTGTAGGTTTTATCTACACGTGGTCTGGCCTGGCTGGAGATATGGTAGCTCTTCTCAAGTTAGGGAAATCCAGGGGGTTCAGGCAGAGCCCTTGTGCTCAGCCCCGGTGGCCTTGGCAGTGAGCTAGCCGGGCAGCGGGAAGCCCTTAGGGAAGGAGCTGGCTTCCAAGCCCGCGGGGGCGGCAGCTGTACCCACGCTTGGAAGGCAGGGGAACCAGGCCCTCCTTCCAGGCCTTGGAAGCCCCAAGCCCCTCCACCAGAGCGCTGAGGGCCTGGCCTGGGGAGGGGGTGCGGTGGGGCTGCTCCTATTTGAGGAGAGGCCTGGGTCTACTGCGCAGAAAAGATAAGCAAGCTGAGGAGAAAACGCTGAAGACGACGACAAAAAAAAAACAGGCTCAGCCAGATTCTTTTTTCACAAGTTTCTTTATGAAATTAAATGTGGTTTCCGGCTTGGAGGCTTGGTGCGAGAGTGACGGACTGTACATGCGCTGAATTCCCGAGGACCAGAGGGTTCGCGCGACACTGCACCCACAGCCGGGCCATCCTCACGGTACCTTTCCTAGCAGGATGTGGGCACCCCTTTAACCCAGGGTCTGCCAGCCTCTGGGTGGTGGGCAACCCTCGAGGCTGAGCCACAGAATTCAGTCCTTATGGCTTCTCACGCTCACTCAGGGTAAGGCAATCTTTCTGTGTCACTAATAACAATGCTCCAATGTTTAGGAAAACAACAAAATGCAAACAAAACCCATACCAGATTCAGGAGTCACCCACAGCTACAGGTGGACTGGTCACAAACCCTGACAAGTGTCGCTGACTAGTGTTTTTCTTTTCACTAGAAATACATGAGTAAAGAGGGTGCAGGGTGTCCGGTGGGTGGGGGGTCAGCTTGGGCAGGCTCCAGGCCCAGCATTGGTGCGATGAAGTGCTTTCCTAACCCTCCAGGGACGCATGCTGCTCTGTCACCGCCTGGCCGGGGCCCTGCAAGGAGCAGAGGGCCCCACAGCCCAGTGTTGGGAGTGGTGAAGGCAGGCAGGCTCTCGGGCCTTCCGCAGAGAACAGAAGGTGGGGTGACCAGATGTCCCAAGAAGAGGGTCCAGAGTGGCCGGTCTTCTCACACGCTAGCCGGCAGGAGGCCCCAAGAGTCTGTGATGTAGGAGCCTTCCATGCTGAAGGGCCCTTCCTCTCCAGCCAGGGTCATCAGTGCACTGGGAGTGGGGCGGAAACCAAGAGCAGGGGCACAGAACTGGCATGTGTTGGTGGCACTGAGCTTTGCCCTCACCCTGCTCACTCCCAGTTTGCGAAATAGCAAAGGAGGGCTGGCTGTGGGGGGCCTTGGGGAGAAAAAGCTGGAGGCCCTCCCAGTGGCAGGCGCAGGTCCACATGGTGCTGGCGGCTGCGGTACAGCTCACTTGCGGAAGGGCGCCAGCCGGCTGATGCTGTGCCAGAAGGTGGACGGCTTCCGCTTGGGCTCTGCCAGCACCAAGACCTGTTTCTGGGGCAGGCTGGTGGGCAGTGCCAGGTGCCTCTGGCGTGTCAGGTAGTAGGGCCGGCCGAGGGCTAGGAAGGAAAGAGTAAGGTCATGGCTGAGGGCCATGACCCTAAGGCTTGGCCTCAGCCCTCCATGGGAGGGCACTTGCGCCCCTGGGGCTGACCACACTGGGGGATGCAATGGGGATGACCAGGGGCCTGGAAGGGCAGGGGCCCTGGCGATCCTCTGTGGCACAGGCCCTGAAAGGCTTGAAGGTGTCTGGAATGAGGATGTTGGCTCCTTGCCAGGTGGCAAGGCTGTTGCCAGAGAGCAGTCTGGCCCCGGGGGACTGTCACTGGTGGCCCACTCTGGGGAGTCTGAGGGTTTGAGGCGAGAACGCCGACTGCATACTGATGGCTCCTTATCACCGACCTTTGAGGACAAACGCCTGCAAAGGGCAGGGGGCAGCTCTGAGGACCCAGATGCCAGCTAGGTGGCTTGGCTTTGGGGGTCAGAGGCAGCTCACACTAGGGCTGGCGCCGTGGTGTAGGTGGGCCTGCCATCCACTCACCTTTGGGCTTCCCAGTGGCCTGCTGCTTGTTGGCGTTCAGCATGGCCTGCTTCCTCTGCAGCTCCGTGATGGAGAAGCCTGAGGGTGGGGTGGGGTGGGGGGGGTGGGAGAGGCGTTTCCTCTGAGCATGTGGCTTGCCTGCTCCTTCCGGCCTCGCTTCCCACCCTGGGCTGTCTTGCGCACCCTGTGCCGACCCGGTGCTCGAGTCCCTCGACAGGGGAGCTGCTTTGGATACCTCGACAGGGGAGCTGCTTTGGATACCTCTGGCATCTTCCACATATCTACTGCCCCACCCCATCTCTCACCCCAACTCCATCCCCGTAGCTGACCCAGGCCTAATGTTCTTTCTCTGCATGGCGGTAGCAGCTCTTCCCCAGACACAGCTGGGCCGGTCACATCAACAGTGACGCCCAGGGATCCGTGGACAGGAGGGGCGCCGTGAGGAGACGCCCTGCTCACTAGGAGGTGCTCTGGAGGCCAGTGCCCACCTTCTCCGGTGTTGCCCACCAGCTGGCAGACCCATGCCCTGGGGCTGACACAGTGGGCAGGTGGGGAGTGCAACGGGCTGTGAGACCGCTCAAGGCTGTGCTGACCTTGCCTGTGGGGTGAGGAAGGCCGAGCAGGGTCTCACCTGTCTCCTTGTCCAGCCGCACCTGCTCCCGCTCCCTGGCCAAGGCCTTCAGCCAGCGCTGCTTCTGCTCAGGCTTCCTGGCACACAGCAGGTGGCTCTCCCCGCTGGGGCTGCAGAGCAGCCGGAAGGCGTTCTTGACGCTCACGTGCAGGTCTCTGTCCTTCCCATCCTCCAGGTCGACCACCTCCAGGCCGTCCATGTCCACCCGGCCCTTATAGTACAGCATGTCTCGGCGGAGAAGGTCCTGCAGGAGGCTTCCCGTGAGTCCCCGTCCTGTCCAAGCCCAGCCCCTCCCTCCCCCGTCGCCCATTGCTAAGGGCTGCACACCCGCCTCCCAGCAGCGGGCGCGCCCCCAGGGGCCGAGCCTTCCGGCGCAGCAGTGACTGCTGCAGCCCCTATGGAAGAGCCTTTTTCAGGGAGCAGGTGCTGGGGGCCGTGGATCGGGAGGCAGCCCTGGAAGCAGAGAGTGGGCGGGCCCACAGTGCAGAGAAGGCCCCTAAGTACCAGTCAAGAGGGTCACGTGGGCTGCAATGGAGAAGCTGGCAGCAAAGAGGAGGCCAGGAGGCAGCTGGGGCAGAGGCCCCCAGGGCTAGGGAGGGGGGCTGAGGTTTGCAGGGAGGGGCTGGCGTTAGAAGCAGCAGGAGCTGGGCCAGGGAATAGGGTGTTCTGAGCAGCAACCAACCTGGTCAGGCAGCAGCATGTGGCCCGAGGCTGCGAGGCTCATTGCAAACCTGACCAGGGAAGGGGCCTGGGAGAGAGTAGCCGCTTGTGGTGGGGAGGGGCGGGAGAGGGAGGGAGGCAGAGAGGGATGGGCGGTTCCAGGCCACCACCCCACCCCTGCTTTACACCTCTACCCTGCTCTGAGCTGCCTGAGGTGAGGCAGAGCAACTCCAACTGGGTACCTTCTTACAGAAGATGAGCTGGTGATCAAACAGGAAGAACATCCTCTGCTGGCTCTTGGCCTGCGGCTGCGTGACACGAGTTAGCTCCCCTGCGTAGATAAGCTCGGAGCTTCGGACCAGGAGGTCCTCCCCCTGGGGGACCCCAAACAGAAGCAAGAGCTGAGAGCACCGGACTATGGTCCAGAAGCCCACCCATCTCTGCTGAGCTCCATGTCTGCCTGGGGGAGGGGGGCAGGTGTCCCCACCGGCCCCGCCTGCTGCATCCCCACCGGCCACACCCCCGAGAGCATCGGGTCACAGGGAAGGGCTCTTCTGGGAGTGGAAGGAAGAACTGGGCGCCCTGGGAAGGGGTTATCAAAGGGTGGTGTGACCTGGGAGCTGTGGTCTCTGCATAATGGTCTGTAGCAGCCAAAGGCCAAGCACCATAAGTGTGGCCAGTCCCCGCTGAAGTGAGTCACACACTGATTTGGGAGACTTGCATGAAACTATGAAATATTTCACTTTGATAGTTTATGTTGAAATGGTATTTTGGAGACATTGTTAAAATGTTATTTTTGTTTCAACTGTTTCTTTTTCAAGATGGCTGCTGCCAGAACATTCCCTGCGTCCCTTCCGTGCTATTTCAATTGTATAGTGCTCCCCTGGACAGTAGACTAGACCTGAGGTCATGTCACCTCCACGGCCTGCCTTTTAGGGGGTCTTAGGAGGTTTTCTTCCCAGTTAAGTGTGTTTAGTGCCTGAAGTCTATCATTAGACTTCGGACCAAGTCCTGCCCCTTCCTGTTCCTGGAAAGCACAAGCCCCAGCCAGGCACTGCGGGCACTCCTTCTGTCTGGGGTGACTCTCGAGGGGTCCTGCGGGCACTCCTTCTGTCTGGGGTGACTCTCGAGGGGTCCTGTGGGCACTCCTTCTGTCTGGGGTGACTCTTGAGGGGTCCTGCTGGCACTCTTTCTGTCTGGGGTGACTCTCTAGGGGTCCTTAGCCCCAACGGCCAGAAAATGAAGGACAAAACCCATCCCAGGGATTCTAATTCCTTCTTCCTCAGGCGACGCCCAGGAAGCTGCATTTGTGTGACATTCGCTCCCTGTGGGGCGGGAATGCCTCAGAAGGGTGGGATGTCATCTTTACTTCAGGCCTCCGCGCTGCCTTAGAAGGCAAGACTGGCACATAGAGGGAGGGGAATGTGCAAGCCAGAAAAACGAACCAGGAGCCCTGGCCGGGAGCCAGCCATGTTTGGTCTGCTGTGGCAGGCTGGGCCTTCTATTGGGAGTAGTGACTAAAACTGGGCGACTTGGCCTGGCCCCAGGGCAGGGAAACAGCTCCTCCCACCAGCGTGGCTGGCTGCAATTTGCAAGGGGCAGTACCTCTCCTGGCCTTGCCCTCTGAGGAGCAGGGGGCCAGGCTGGTCACTCTGGAAGGCAGCTCTATGCCCAGAGCTGGGGCCGAGGAAGGCCTGACTTCCCTACCTCCAGCTCCCATTCTCCAGTTACCAGGAGCATGACTCAGCCCCCTCCTGGAACTTCCAGGGGGATGGATGGTTTTAAATCAAGTGGCCCAGCCCCACCATATTTTTGGGGACATCAGGCCCTCACCTCCCAGTCCTCTACGGAGCTTTGCCACTGAGCAATTTTGTCGATGTTTTCTAGTCTCCGTTTCCGTTCGTTGATGAGCTGGGCCACGTTTTTCATGGCATGTAAGGCAGCTTCCACATCCTTGAAATCCCTGGGGCAGAATAGAGATGAGAGCGGGTTGCCATAGAGAGTAGACGGCCGGCTGGGCCCCAGCGCACCCTGCGGAGCTGCTCCCATCTGGGGCCATTGCTCCACCTCTTGGCCAGCCTCCACCTTTTATCCATCCATGTGGGCACAAAGCGGAACTTCCTATCCTGCCCCTCCCCACTCCCTCCTGTTCTCTGCTCTTCCCTCAGTGCAGTGACAGCTCTGAGCGCTGTGCTGCATCACCCCGTGTCTGCAGTGGTGTCCAGTGCTCACACCCCGGGGGACGCCTCCCCTCCACACCCCTCACCTGTGCTGGGGGGGCGTGTACTTGAGCAGCTCAGCCAGCTGCAGCGGGTACTTGCAGATCTTCTGCACTGGTGTCAGCAGGAAGCCATGCAGGGAGATGTCGATCATCTTTTGCAGCAGCCGGCAGGCCTCGAAGAAGTACACGTAGTTGCTGAGCTTAGTGAGCCGAGAGAGCTCCAGGCAGGCATTGGGGTGGTTGTTGCAGTACTCCGAGTAGATCTGGAAGTCTGCTTGCTGGGGGCACAGCTGGAGGTTAGGACAGCTGTCTCTGGCTCCCCTGGCAACTGGGGTGCAGGTTGGGGAGGGACCCTCTACCCTCTATCACACCCAGGGACATGAAAGGCCCTGGAAAGGGCCCCACCCCGCCCCCTTTCCTCAGCAGGGCCCTCTGCGGCTAGCGTGTCAGCCTGGGGGATGAAGCCTATGCCGCTAGTAAGGAAGGGCTATCAAGGCACAGACAAGAAAGAGGAAGGGACAAGAGACAGACCAAAGATGCCAGGGTCTGTGGCTGCACATTTTGGGTCTTCATTCTCAGCCCAGAGCCTTATTTTTTCCTCACAAAGTTTACACCTGCAGGATGAAAGCCTCTCTCGCTTTAGTCAACACGACGTGACACAGATGTGTCCACACTGTGTATCGGCCTTGAGGCTCGTGGTGCCTCCTATTTTTATCCTCTGTCTCCTCGGACACGCTGAGAGAGCAGGCGGCCCCTCAGCAAGCTCAGGCTTCGTGGACTTGGGTGGTCAGGCGGGGAGAGCAGCTCGCTGCTGGGTTGCTGTGATGCTCCTACCGTGCGCTGCACACCTGGACCCGCATCCTACACCCACGCCGTGTCCAGATCCACCACCTGCTCCCTCAGGTGCCCAGGCCAAGGCCCCCTTCTTACTCTCCTGCCCCGGAAGAGATGTGGTGGCTTCCCAACACCCTGTTGTCCTTCAGAGAAGGGACTTGGTATCCTCTGCTCCAGCCCCCGTGAGGGCGACAGGAGCGCAGTGGAAACACAGGCCTTCTCCCTCAGGCAAGGCCAGGTGTCCATCTAGGCCAGCCCAGGCCACTGCACTGGCACCAGAGCACAAGTACGCCCTGTCAGGTCCACAGCCGGAAGGTTTGCTCACTGTGTGAGAGACCCCAGGAAGCCCTGAGCTTCTACTCTGCCCTAAGCAAATCCTTTCAGACCTGCGCCCCTCTGATCGGGGAGCCTGGTCTCCCACGCTGGGCAGGTAGAAGCAGAGACACTTTTGTAGTGAGGGGGTGATGGGTGAGGGCAGCTGAACAGGGGAGGCCTGGGAACGTGTGGGTTCAGAGCAGGTTACTGGGCTTTTGCCTCCAAAAGGCGCGGGCAGAGGTCCCTGGTGGTGCAAGGGGTGACGTCTCAGCACTGTGAAGCTGGCAGCGCTCTGAAGATGCCCCGCCAGGGAGAAGCCCACGTTAGACAGCAGACCTCTCCTGCCGCCGCTGCTCCCCTCAGCAGTGTGTTTCAGTCAGTCTGCCTGTTCTGCTCCCCACTCTGTCTCTGCTGAATCCTCTCACCTCCCACACCTCCTGCCTGCACCCCAGCTCTTGTAAAAAATTAATCTTTAAAAAAATTATTTAGAGAGAGCTAGAGAGAGCCGGCAGGGAGGTCTGGGCAGGGGGAAGCTGCGGGGCGGGGCCTGGGTCTTGGGGAGCCCCCGGCCAAGGCTGGGGGTGGGGGCTGGGGACGGCCCTGGAGGCCCGGCGGGGGGGGGGGGGGGGGGCGCTCACGTGCTCCAGGAAGCAGGCGCCCAGCTCGCTGAGGTGCGGCCGCTCGCGGTTGAACCTGCGCTCCAGCGCCCGCGCGAAGGCCTTCTGGCAGCGGTAGATGTCCTCGATGTTGCCGAAGATGGTGCGCAGCTGCTCCTCGCTGAACATGTCCGCGCGCCGGCGGCACTGCCGGATGTAGCCCTGGGGGCGGCGGGGGTCAGGTCTCCGAGGGCCGCCGCGCCCCCCTGGCCCGGCCACCGCGCCCCTCACCTCGCAGATGTCGCGCAGGTGCTTGATGTAGTCGCGCTCCGTGCTGAGGATCTCCCTGATCACGTTGGTCCGCATCTGCTCCTTGCTGCCCGGGACCTCCGTCCCCCCATCCTGGGCCTCGGGGGCCACGGGCCGCCAGGCCTCGTCGGGGGGCTCGTCCTGGTTCACCCGCAGCTGCAGGCAACGTGCCGGTCAGCGCCCTGGGCTCCGTAGCTCCCCCACCTCTCCCCCTCCCGGCTCGCTGCCTGTGCCGGCCGCCTGCCTGGCTCACCCGGCGTTCCCGCCCCACCAGGGCAAGCCCCTCTAGGGCCCGGGACAGGCAAAGTGACTTACTGCCTCTGACGTGCAACTAACACAGGCTGTGGGTGCAGGGTGGACACTTTGCGGGGGAAGGTCTAGGGCAGGAGCGGCACTGACCCCCAGGACCTGGGATCTCTGTGCCCCCCCACGCCTTCTGGAGGCTGCACTGCACTTCTTCCTTGCAGACCAAAGGCCTCATTAGGTTGCTTTGGGGCTGGGGGAGCCTTCCCTGGGATCCTTCTGTGTAAGGGTTAACCTGTCCATGCCTCCACTTCTCAGGAGTAACTGGCGGTGCCCAGCTGTGGGCTGTTGTGAAGGAGATGGAGGGGTGATGTGACCCGTGCAATATTTTGCACAGGACTTAGTAAATGCCTAGAAAAGTGAACTGTTTGTAGTGACCTTCTAGCTTGATGCTGCCCCTTGGAGAACCGTTCCTCTCTGCCCTGAGGGCACTGGGGGTGAGGTGGAGCAGAGGTTGGTGGCTCTGCTGGAGCAAGCAGGCTGTGTCACAGCTGCCTGGACCACCTCCCCGAGTGCCCTGCCCAGCCCTCAGTTGGCAGGGCCACCACAGCCCCGAGTCAGGTCCTGCCCAGCACCTTGGGCCTCAGAGGCGTTCAGACTTGCGTCTCTGAGCAGAGCCACGCTCTCCAAGGGCCTGGACAGCGCAAGGCAGCGTACCCGCACGAAGCTGGCTGGAAACCACCCCTCGCCGTCGGCGACACGGCCCCACCACCACTCTCGGTTGGTGGCATCCATTACTTCGATGACATCCCCAGCTTTGAAACCCAGTTCCTGGTCATCCATGGTGACATGGTCCCAGAGTGCTTCAGCACAGACCACACTGCCATCGCTGATGAGCTGTGGAGAGAGCGAGGGACATGCAGGTCAGTGGGGTCAGGATGCCACATGGGTGTTTCCTCTAGGGGCAGGTGCTGCTGTCCTCTGCCCCACACCATCAGCAGCTCTGGGCAAGGATATCCTGACTCCTGGTAGAGGAAATGGATGGAGGTTCCCTCTGAGCCAGCTGCTCTTTGGGGAGTCAGGGTGCTTCCCTGGGCATGTCTGGACTATCAGGGTTCATAGGAAGCCTGAAGCGGCCGTGACCATTAGAATCTGGTGGTCATGTAGCTCCCTGCTTTATTGCGGGGCACACCTCCTACCCCAGGGAGCCAGTGATTCAGCTGTTGCCTCTTAACTCTGCCCAGTCACCCCGCTCCCTGATGCTGGCAGGGCACCGCACGACACAGTACTGCTATGCCAGTGCTTTAGTGAGGGTCTCCACCTCTGGCACTGGAGGGAGGAGCTACCTCCCTTTCACTGGCTTGTAGATTGGGGGTACCTCTGAGGTCACCTGACAAGCAAAAGTGCCACCTCACCCAGGTGCAGTGGTGCCCAGCCATGTTGGTAACGATGTCGTTGGCAGCGGTTTATAAACTCTCAGAACTTGTCACAAAGCACAGGCCCGTCCCCCCAGCACTAGGGGAACCACTGCCCTCCTCAGAGTCCCGGGCCCCAAGTCCACAGGAGGACCGGGTGTCATTATTCTGCCCTTCTTTCAGCTCCTTAGCCCTGGTAGAGGGGTGCCTTGCAGCTGTTGCCTCTGTGCTGGCTCAGGGCTGCTTTTGTGCACGTGGGTTCTGAGTTCTTCACCTTGTAACTTGCTAATATTCCTCATGCGGAGTTCTCTCTGCTGAAACAGCTGGCAAGGTTCCTTTTTCCCATGTGGTCATGGACCTCGTGTTGGGATCCACCCCCCCCCCACCGCCGGCAGGGGGACAGCACCTTCGGGTGGCCCTCGTGCGCAAGCTCCATCTCCTATCTGGCTGACGCCTGCTTTCCTGTAGTGCGGGCTCACTTTTTGCTCCTGGGAGGACGAGTGTCTCGGGGTGGGGGTTGCTGAGGACCTGGGCACTTGGGGCTGCAGGTTCCCTGTTCCTCTCTGCTGGGCCAAGTGTTGGTTCTGGCGGGATCAGCTCCGGCTCTTAAGTCAAGCACTCAAGGCCTTGCAGACAGCCCCTCTGTGCCAACTGTTTCCTCCTCTGAGCTGCCGCCTGCCCCTCCGGGTATGAGACCTCCCTTGGCTTCGGGGCCTGGGTCTTTCCCCGGAGCGTGCTTATCCTCAGAGCACACTGGGAGTGGGCATGGCAGGATGGGCAGGGCGGCCACCTGAGTGGGTTCTGGTTACTGCTTTAAGAGACCTCCACTGTGCCCTGAATAGACAAGGCAAGAGGTGGGGTGGGCTACCAAGCGCCGGAGCCCATTCAGGGTGAGGCCTGCCCTCCAGGGTAAGGCCTGAGCAAGCACATTCAGAAACCACCGGTTCTTCCTGTTTTCTGGGGTAAAACTGCTCTAAGGCCTGATGAAACCATTCCATAGAATAATCCTTGGCCTATGAACACACTCTCTCTCAGGCAGCAGCCAGAGGGGCTGTACATTCCTGGTGCCCACTCTGGGCACAGAGCCCTGGGTCGTTCCTGGGGGCCACGTGTCTCCTCAAGGGACCCCTGTTCTCAGCCAGCCTGAAAGGCCTACTGCCGGCGTGTCACTCTGTCACAGGCCTGGCTCCCTGGATCAGACCTGCTTGATGCAACGTGATTGGATGAGTCAGGAGGATGTGGAGACCACAAGGGAGCAAGGCTGCTGCAGCCAGGGACGGGCGCTAGATGGAGCAGCGCTCGGCTGCACATCTCCCACCTGCAGGATCCCTCCAGGCCCGGGAGGGCGTGGGGTGGACAAGGAAGGCGCAGGATGCTGGAAGGCGGAGTGGGCCAGCCCATGAGAAAGGCTGCAGGGACAAGGGTCGCCACGGGCTGTTCAGGAACATGTCTGTGTTTTGAGACCGCGCAAGGGCTCAGGCTTGGAGCCTCCTCGGCACACTGAGGTTTGGACACAGGGAACAAAACTTCCTGTTTAAGCTTTGTGGCTTTGAGCCCCGAAAAGCGGGTGTTCTGAGTCACTCTCCCTGTGCCCCCAACATGGACCTGCCAGCGCATGGCCACAGGCTGGCTAATGGGCGGGACCCCGCGTCTGCTGAGTGTCCAGAGCGCAGGTGCAGCTGTTCTGCTCGGCTCCAGCAGCTGCACCCCGCGCGGCTCAGGGCAGTCAGGGGCTGCCCAGAGGCTGGAGCCCGGGCCGAAGGGAGTAACGTGAGGCACCCGCACGGCCTCCCTTCCCAGGTGAGAGCGGGTCCGCCAGCCCCTTTCCCTCTGGTGAGTCCGAACAACATTCCCTCCTGTCCTCCTGTCCACCCCAGCGCCCCACCCACCTCTGACTTATCTTCCTGTCCTTGCAGACAGATGGAAGCCCACACGGGAGGCGCCCACGTAAGCACTGGGCAGGCGTGGGGCTCTCCAGAGAGCCAGGGTTCCCACGCGTTCATCGAGGAGACCTGTCTCCAACCTGCCGGGTCACTCTACCCGCGGTGCTGGGGGATGCTCACCTTTGTCATTCCGTGGCCCAGCCCCGTGCTGGACGCCGGAGGCATCCTACACACAGCCGAGAGCGCCTGCTGCTCCCCACGGCGGGCTCCCACTGACGCCACAGGGATACTCTGTCCACGTGGGCCACAGAGCTCCTGCGAAGGCCCACACAGAAGGCTCTGGCGGGCGGGCTGCGACACCCGCTGTCTCACGTGACATCAGCAAGACAGCACCCAGCTCCGAGAGCAGAGACACATGCTGCCTCCACGAAAGGCCAGAGGCCACCGGGGCCCCACTCTGGGCCAGTTCTGGGGAGAGGCCTGACAGCAGAGCCTGTCTTGAGGCGCACCTGGGCAGGTGGAGGGGCCTGACAGCAGAACCAAAGCTGGCTCAGAGACGTGGGGGTCTTGCGGGGGCCAGCGGGGGGCTGTTCAACAGGAGGGGCAAGCTCAAGTGTAACGCGGGCATGGACAGGGGCAGAGCCGCTCTGCGCTGAGGTTTATGGGGAGAGGGAGGTCTAATCTGACAAAGGGCGGTGACTCCTGCCCACCGCCCTCCCACCCGGCCCCTGGCTTCCTCTCCCTCACAGGGAAGGGGTGGTGGGTGAAGGTGTCAGGCGACCCACATGCGGGGGGCCCGGGGGGCTCTGCCTGGGGCAGGGGGTGGGCCGAGAGGGGCCGCTTACAACCTAAAATGGGAAACGCAGCTGCGGGAAAGCGCGGGAGGCGCCCACTCATCTCCCCGAGCTCGCGTCTCACCCCACAGACACGGTGGCCGGGTCCGCCTAGGGGGGTCACCTGCCGGCGGTTTCCGCCCAGCTGCACCCACATTCCCACCCCCCACTCCCCGCCCCCCCCACACTCGGCCATGTTACACACACACACACACACACACACACTCAACCGGAAGGTCCCTGCGGCCCAAGTGACCCCGCCCCAGTCCCCAGATGTTGCCGGCCGCGGTGGGCGCGCAATCGGACCCGGGCCATGGTGGGGGGGGGCGGCGGGGCGCTCTCCGGGGCGCGGCGGGGATCGCGGGGCCCAGGCCCGCCGGGAACACCCGCGATCGCCGAGGGGGCGGGGCCGGGGCCGGGGGGGGGCCGGGGGTCGGGGGGCCGGGGGCCGGGGGCTGGGGGGGCCGTGGGGGGCCGGGAGGCCGGGGGGCCGGGTGTCCGGGGGCCGGGGGCCGGGGGGGCCGGGGGAGCCGGGGGTCGGGGGGGCCGGGGGTGCCGGGAGACCGGGGGGCCGGGGGCCGGGCCCGGGCGGCGCACTCACGCGGGCTCAGCGGAAGGCCAGCAGGAAGATGAGCACGACGTTGATGAGCACGAGCAGCGCCAGCACCGCGAAGACCACCACGCGCTGCGCGCCGGGCGGCAGGTTGCAGCGCAGCACCGCGCGCAGGGCGTTCCCGGCCCCCGGGCGCCGCCGGCTCTGCGCGGCCCTGGCCATGGCGGCGCCGCCCGCTCCCAGCGCCGAGTCCGCGGCCCCTCGGCCCGGAGGGCGCCGGGCGGAGCGCGGAGGGCGGAGCCGCAGCGCGGCGGGGAGACCCGGCCCCGGCGAGGGGGCGCGCGCCGAGGGCGGAGCCGGCGGGGGGGGCGACGTCGGGGGGCGGGGACCTCGCGGCGCTGGACCCTGGGCGGCCCCGACCCGCCCTCCCGGGGAGGGAAGCGGCGCCGGACGCGGCCGGGAGCAGCGGGCGACGGAGCCGGGACGCGAACGCGGGACACACGCCGGCGCGATCCCCGCGGAGGCGCCCGCAGGCCCTGGAAAGCCGCCTGCGGGCCGCGCCCTCGGCGCAGCCCTCCCTTCCCGCGGGCTTGTCAACCCCACCAGCCCCGGCTTCGCCGCGGGGCAGCCGGCGGACCGCGCGTCGGGGGGGCGCGGGGCCCGGGGATCCGCCGCGCGCCCGCCTGTCCTCCCGGCCGCCGCCGCCGCGCGTGCGGTTCAAGTGAAGATCTCAGCAAATCCCGAGAAGCCAGGACAGCGTTGCTCACCCCAGCCCCGTCCCGTACATTAGGTCTCCCGAATTCACTCGCCCTGCACCCCTGAAACGCCGTCCCTTGACCAGCGCCTCCCCGGCCCCCTCCCCAGGGCCCGCGCGGCCCCTCCACTCTCACACGCGAAACCGCGCGGCGCTCGCCTCCGTGCGCCTGGCGCGCGTTCCCCGGCACCACAGCCCCCGCCCCGCCCACGTGTGCGCCAGCGGGAGACCGCCTTCCTTTCCAGAGGCCGAGACCCGCGGCCGCGCCTGCACCCCCGGGCTGCGTCTCTGGACGGACGCGCGCGCAGGGACACGCACCCCTCAGGGCCTCCAGGTCCCCCGTCCCTGGATGACGCGCGCTGCTGGGAACGCCGCGGCCGTGCACGTGGGGTGCTGGCGTTTCTTTGGAGCCCAACGTCCTCTCCTTTGGCTGCACGCCCAGATGTGGGGCTGCCCCACCACGTCAGAGTTGCATCTAGAACACCTTAAGCAGCCCCCCGTGCTCCGTGGTGAAGCCAGTCTCCACGGCGGCCAGTTCCCATCCCCCCACCGCGCGGAGCCGTCTTTCCTCCGCACTCGCTGCCCCGGCTGCCCGCTCAGCCCATCTGAGAGGAGTAGGGCGCCGCCTCACCGTGGGGACTCAGTCCCTTACGAGGACTGATGATCAGCTCTTCATGCACCCGATAGCAATGTGTATCTTTTTTTGAGAAATATCTATTAATGTCTTTTCTCCTTTTTAAATTGGATTTAAAAAATTATTTTTTGCTCCTGGGTTGTAGGAGTTCCTTATGGACTGGATATTAACTGTTGACAGACACATGGTTTACAAATGCTTTCTCTTACCCCGTGGGTTGCCTTTTCACGCGGTGGACCATTGCCTTTGCTGTGCAGAAACTTTTATTTCATGCAACCCACCTGTCTATTTTTGATTCTGCTCTCCTTGTTTTTGGTACCATCCAAAAAGTCACTGGCTAGGTAGGTCAATGTCAAGGAGGCTTCTCCATTTTCTTCTGCAGTTCTATGGTTTCTTATCTTTTATTTAATCATTTTTGCAGTTGATTTCTGTATATGGTGTGAGATCCAGTCCAATTTCATTCTTCTGCATTTGGGTCAGTGGCTTTTAAAAATACCCCATGTCAGGTACCCGGGGTTGCCACTGCCTCTGGCAGAACCTGCAACCTTAACTCTGCACTGTTCAAACTCACATGCAGGTGTCTCTTGTTCCATCAGCAATGGTGGGCTCCATGCAGTCACCCTCTGAGGGATCAGAGGCTGCAGCTGTGGGGCTGAGGAGCCTGAAAGCAGCTCCCTGGTGGGCAGAGCCTTCTAGGCTCCATGCTCAGGGGCATGCAGGAGCAGGGGGAGTCCATGGAGGGAGCATATGCAGAGACGGAGTATTCATGCCTGGAGTGCTCCGTGTCCAGCCTTCTGTGAGTGCGGGCACGGCATGCACGTGAGCAAGCATAGATGCAGACCACCCTGCTGAAGACACCCAAGTGGACGCACTGTGCATTTGCCTGTGTGTGTACCTGTGTGTGGGTATGTGTGGGTGTCCTGTGTGTGTACCTGTGTGTGGGTATGTGTGGGTACCTGTGTGTGGGAATGTGTGGCTTACCTGTGTGAGGACCGGTGTGTGGCAGAGCTGGGTTGGGAGAGAGTCTCCTGCTCCTACCCAACTCATGGGAAAACTAGACTCAGGATGTAATCCCTCAAGCTCTCTGGAGGGATAGGGGCGGGGATCAGAAAGCACTAAAGGCTCCCAGCCACATGAAATCTTAGTGCTTCTCTGGTTAAAGCTGTGACATACCCTCTGGTGGGCTGGGGCTCAGAACTCCTGGCTTGGGTCAGATGTGTCATTGTGTCCCTGTGGTGGCAGAGCCACCGCCCGCCAGGAGAGAGAGTGTAGAGGACTATGTCCTCAGCGCCTGGGCAGGGCAGTCCCGGGAGCCCAGGGGTCAGTGCAGAGCTGAGCACTGCAGCTCTCCAGTCCCGCCTGCTGCAGGGTTGGCCCCAGGGGCACGTGTTGGACTACAGCCGTCGCCCAGCTCCGGATGAGCTGCCACGGCAGTGGAGCAGGCCGCGGAGGAGTTAAGCTGGCAGAAGAACTCGGAAGGCCCTGGGCCAAGGGCCGAGAGGCACTGTCACCGGCTCTGGTCATCCGCCTTTGGAGCCTGCTCACCTGGGTTCAGGGCAGGGGAGATGGGGCGCAACAGCCTTTGTGTGTGTGTGGGGGGGGTTTCATGACCAAAAACAAAGCCCAAAAGGCTGGAAAGCAGAGGCCTAGGCCCTGGAGGGGTTCAAGGCAGATCTCCACACTGGGGAGGCTAAGGAAGAATGCACAGCAGGGAGCCGCCACTCAGCTGAAGGCGGGGTTGGGCATCTGCGGACTGCAAATCTGCTGAGGTGGCTGGAGATGGGAAGACAAGATGGGCGGAATGTTGGTATTTGGGGCAGATGAGGGCTGGGCCCCAGGTGCCCCCGCTTCAGGAGGGCAGGGGAGGCTGCTGTGGGTGTGGATGTGCAGGCAGGGGCTGAAAGATGTCCTTCCTGCTCACGAGACCTAAGTCCAGCTGTTGTCCAATACGGGCCAAGCAGGAAGCACGTATCTGAAGTGCTCGCCTGCAGGGAGTTCTCACTGGGGCTGCGGAGGGGCTGCAAGGGCCGGGTCAGGCTGGAACCCAGATCCGGGGTTGCAGGTTCTGGCGAAGATGGCAGGACCTGCACGAAGGCCAGAATGACTCTGCCAAGGGACTGGTCAGGGTTCGGGACAGCATCCTCCAGGTGTTCCCCACAGACGTGTTGCCGTGTGACACCAGCAGGGCTGTCTACACCCTCTGAGGACCCTGCGGCCTGGCGGCGGGCACAGTCCCGCTCCACCCGCTGGCTGCACATTCCAGCCCCTTCATGCTTCAAAGTCCAGATGAGATGCATTTGATACCTGCCTGCCCTCTAGTTAGGGCTTCACCTGCCCCTCAGCAGGGACATCAGAGCAGCTCTACACAGGTGCCTAGAGGGGACCAGGACACCAAGGCCCTACCACACGCCCTCCTTTAGTGCCCCTGAGGCCTAGCTGCTGTCCAGGGGTGGTGAGCTAGGCAACAGAGGACCCCAGGCTTCCTGCCAAGAGCTGCGCCTCCTGTTCCTTTCCGGCTCACAACCCTGGGGAGGTGTAGTGGAGTGGTTGTGGAAATGAGAACAGAACAAGGTCTTCCAAAGATACTGTCTGCTTTCCACCTTCAACTCCTCAGAAACAATCCTTGGGCTAGGTGAGCACTGGGCCCGACTGCAGTGGGACGCCCACACAGGGGGGTCTGGTCAGCCAGGAGGGTTCCCAAGTGGACAAGGGGCCAGGCACTCGAGGTGGGAAGTCACTGCTTTGGAGGCAGGTGAACAAGCCTGTCACTGAGAATCACCATTTTTTCTCTTCTTGAAGTTTCTGACCAAATGAGTCTATTTAATGCTGCCAGCAAAGAGGAATAGGTATAGCTGTTCCCCAGGACCCAGTACAAGCTGGCACTGGAAACCTCCTGCAGGTGCCACCTCCACTATACAGGGAGCAGACAGGCCTGGGGAGGCAATAATGTGACACAGGTCCTGTCCTGGTCAGTGGCAGGATGGGTCAGACTCAGGGTGCCAGCCTCCTAACCAAGCTTTGCCCCTCATGTTCTGCCACCTTTTGTGGGATTCTCTTTCTGGGAGGCACTGCCCACACTGAGCACCACCTCCAGCCTACACCGGTTTCTGTGTCACTGGAGAGGGCCTCTTCAGTTTGGCCAAACCTTTGGGGATGGGAAAGGGCCCTCATGCCCTCCCCCAGAGCAGCGCAGCTGCATTTCTGCCACCCAACAACCCAGCTGGGGCTACTGCTTTGTTTCAAGGACCAGATAAAGTTTGCAGGTCCTGTAGATCTGGGAATAGTCTTAGCTACAGTTTCTCTGGACTCAAAAAGAGGGAGGGAGAGGTAGTTTTAATTGGTCTAGAATTGGGCAGTGATGGGGGCAAGGTATGCATAATCAAGAGGGACCCCCTCCCACCCAGGTTCTTACCTGGAAAACTCTAATGCTTTACTGCTCAGTGCAGGGCTCCCCCTTTCTGAGACTGCCCCCCTCCCCCCTGCAGTGTTCTGTCCAGTAGCTTCCGAATAAACTTTGTTGCTGGCTTCATTCTGGCACTTTGTGAAATTCTTTTCTACAGAGACCCCAAAGGCCCTAGGGCTCCATGGTCCTCAACAGAACCGTCCTCCCCAGTAAGGTGGCCCCAAGCCTCCCTCCGGGGGCTTAATGGGGTCTAGGGAAGACTAACATCCTGGAAAACACTGAGGTCTCTAAACACAAGGCACACCACTACCACTCTGTCTGCTTAGGAACCTAGATACCAAGAAAAATCTTTGAAGCAAATTCTCTAAGCAGCCAAAATAGGTGCCATACAATTTATAACCCATATTCCCTCTATTTTCCTCAACAAGGTGTCCTTTGTTCTTTTAGAACAGTTTTGGTTCTTGGTTTTTCTCATCCTAAGGATCTCAGCGTGAACAACTTGTCAAGGACTTCAAAAAGCAGCTCCTCCCCTGGCAGTGCGGTGTGACAGCAGACAGCATTTCAGTGTCACTGGCTGGGAGGCAGACAGACGTAATGCACGAGCTCTAACCATGCAGTGCTGAGGGCCAACCTCAAAACCCTACCCTGTAAAGTCCCTAAAAGCTTCCTGTGTGTCTTTCTTTATGATCATCCTTGTCATTGGAGAGTCACTGAGAATCCAAGAAGAATGTCATTTATATTCATTATTTCAGGCAGTCCTCATGCAATCACATGGTCAGCCTATTTCACAGTGATGCACCAAAGACTGAGGAGGGCAGCCTGCATCTTCAAGGAAAAGCAGAATTCATAGCCTGTGAATTCTGTTTAAGATGATAATTTTAGAACACTTTCCATTCAACACAGTTTGTGAGAAGCACTTAAAGAAACTTTATTTATGGGGAAAATCAATGTATCTGAATGTCTATTCCTTATGCATCATGGGTTTTGCACAAAGCATTATTTCACAACTATTTTAACTCTGCTCAGACCCCAGCAGTTTGGACCCATCCATCAAATCAGTAATGAGGACATCACACTCCAGAAGGGCTTCTGAGAAGCCTCCTGGCCCATTCATTCACAGAAATAGTAAAACCTAACTGTTTGTAAACTGATCTTCTCCTGCTGAACATTTTCGGGGGATTGAAGATCCTGCGCAATCCATTCTGGTTTTAAGGAAGCAGAAATACACAGTCTATCATGACCAGGAGGAGAATATGGTGTTGTTGTGGGCACGTACTGATGCCAATTAATACTTCATTCAACATTCACACTATTAACATTATGTTCACCAGACCCCTCTCAATCAAGTTAAAAAGGGGGAAGAAAAAAGGAGCACAGAGGAGAGGTGAGTCAAGGTCTTAAAACTCTTTTCTCCATGGAGAATGTAGAACTTCATTTGGGAGCCATTTTTACTTAAATGAAGTTTCTCACTAATTTCGTTTGCTTAGGTAAGAATAGCAACAACAACAACAAAAAAATAGTAACCTGACATGGTTGTCAAAGCCACAGCGATATTTTTGAGCTCTTGGAGTCAAGAGGAAAGAAATCAACCTTCACAAGCCTTGGCCCTGGTCCTGCCTGGACAGCCTGTTGGCAGGTTGTGGTGGTGGTGATGGTGGTGGTGGTTATTCCAAATGGAGCAGGTTATCCCAATCAGCACTACATTATAGAGAAGGCTCAGTGGACAGACCCACCGTCTTACATATTCCACGTGCTATTATAGCTTCCCTGTAGGGCCCAGGGGGCACAGGGGAGGGTCCTGTGTTTGGACAAGCTCTGTGTGTGGACACCACATCCTAACATGAGAGTGACGGGTTGGATGGTGCTGTGTGCATGCCCGCGCCACTGTCGTCTGCTGGGAGTGCAGAGTGAGGACATGCAGGCCTGCATGAGGATGCTGGAGTTGCCTTGACAGCTAGGCCACTGTTCCCGTCCCGTCCCCCCACCCACGCAGCCCTGACCCTACCTCATTGATGGCCAGCTGCTCGCCGCCCCCTCCAGGGTGGCTGTAGTGGTGGCCGGAGCTGTCATACAAGTCCTCCTCACTCCCCACCTCGTCGGCACAGATGACCGTGTTCAGAGTTCCATCGGGGATGGCTGGAAGGAAAGAGAGCAGCTGGCAGGGAGGAGCTGGGGTGGGGAGGGGAACACAGAAAAGGAGAGGGACCTGTTCAGGATAAATACTCCTTCTTTGGGAGGAGGGAGAAGATCTGGGAACTAGTTTCTAAACCAATTTCGCTGCAAGAAAATGAGGTCTGCTTGAAGGAGTGCAGGGCTATCCCACCAGCCCTGTAATTACCTTCCACTCAGCCCCTGCCAGGCCCACACAGGAAACACTGGCATCTGCCCCAGCACACTCTCAGGAGTGCCCTCCTGTTGAACTCAACTCAAACGCATTTACCAGTGTGGCAGGTACAGTAGAGTACCCTTAAGAAAAATGTTAGAAAGTTATTATGAAATACAGTCCTATGTATATTATACGCATGCAGATATATCTTCAAAGAAATCTCTCTCTCTCTCTCTCTCCAAAGAAATATATGTGCAAATATAGTTTGAAAATTAATAAAATGGAAACCAATGCTTATGGTGCTTAAGAAAAACTCCAGAATCTTGGAATCCAACCTCCAGTACACACCTCTGTCCTCCTCGTCCCCTTTCCAACCTTCAGAGAGAGCCAATAGTGCAAAATTGTATAAACTGTTCCCACGCTTGTCTTTGCTTTAGCATTTATTTTTGCTGAGTTTCTCATGGCTTCACATTATGGAAATGGATCTATTCCAGTTTCTCTTCTCTGGCCAGCTTTTCTCACTCGTCTGCTGCGTTGCTGTGACCGGCTGGCTGTCACGGATGCAGTCTTCCATGTTAGGAACACTTCGAAGTTTGCGTATCAGTTGTGCTGCCGGGAAGAGTGGGTGGTTTCCTGGGTGGCTGCTGGTGTGCATGATGCTGCCTCAGAAAGGTCCACACACCCCTTGGCACAAGCCTCGGAGTTTCTCTCAAACTGGGTTTCTCAATCTCTTTTTCATTATTGCTCCCCTGCTCCCGCCAAATCTTTATATGCTGTTTTGCTAATTCCCCCCAATGAAATTCTAGTATCACAAATAAGTGTATATTGTTCATGTTCTATGGTTCTTTGGAAAAAAAGCATTGTATGGCTGAGGTTTTTCTTCCTTGGGTGAAATCATCGTTCCTGGAGTGAACTCATATTCTAGGACACAGATGCCCTGTGTGGCATCAGGTTCCCGGGAATGCCAAGCTGTTTTCCAGAGCTACTCTACCAACCCCATCACTCTATCCTAACCAGCTCCTGGGGTTGGAACTGTCAGACATTTTAATTTTGGGCAGGCTGATGGGTATGGAATGGTATCTCTGACTGCTAATGAGTTGAACATGTTAGCCAGGCTTACGGGTCACAAAATTAACTATATTACATAGTATGAGCACCTCACAAGTGATATTAAGATTTGTTTGCTGAGGCATTCACGTTAAAGACATCCACCTTGAAACACACTGCCAGTTACAAACCAGATCAGGAGCAAGGCCATCCCATCCATGAAGCTGCCTCTTTTAGAAAATTCTGGTGACTTAGGTAACCGACCATTAAACTGACTACTTGCTCTTTCTTCCCATGTGTTAATTCCCTCTCTTATGCTTTCAGTTCACCAACAAAAAGTGAATCTGTGAAACCCTGGGTAACCCAGCCTCAAGTCCAATAAAGACAGACCCGCTGGTGTTCTCTCTCTCCCTCCTCCCCCCGTTATCTTGACCTTGTTGTATGGTCAGGTATGCTAGGTACCAACCAGGATTCAAGAGTTACAGACCTTGTTTTCACAAAGCTCCCTGATGGTTGTTGCTAAGGTACATTAAGGTGCACAAGGGCAGGACCAGCCACAACATGGACTTAAGATGGGAAATGCCTCAGGGGCTTACCTTGGATGTGGGCCCAGGCAAGCACTCTGAGGCATGTTGAGCTGATAGCAGCTGAGGCTGAGGTTGAGGCTGATTCCAAACAGTTATTAGTATTTCCTTTAATGTAAAATGTCTGTGCCCCTGGAGTTGCTTACCTTTCATGTAATCACTGATCTAAAAATATATTTGCATGTGTATAAAGGTAAGTATATATGAGCACCAGCTCCCCTACTCTGTATACCACATCTTGGCACCCAGTGTCACAACTATCATCTCCCAATTTGTGGCCTGTCTTGTCTCTTTAAGGTACTATTGATGAACAGAAGTTCTTAACAGAAGCAAATTTATAATTTTGTCCTATGTGGTGTATATTTCTTGGGTTTAGGAAATTCTTCTCTACCTCAGAGTAATAAATATATCGTATGTTATCTTTTAATGTTTTATAGTTTTTCTTTTAACATTTAAGTTTTTTATCCACTCGGAAATGACTTTTGTGTATGGTATTAGGTTGGAATCCAAGTTCATTTTTTTCTGTAGGATAATCAGTTGTGTCAGCACCAGTTATGGGACAGGCAATCATTTCTATGGATTCAAAAGTGTGCATTAAATCAGGTTTCGAGGTGGACAGGTCTGCATCTGCATTCTACTTTTATGGGAGGCAAAGATGTCAAAATCCTCATACCCAGCACCTGTGAATATGCTGTTTCACATGACAAAGAAGAATTTAGGTTGCAGATGGAATTAAGGCTGCAAATCTGCTTACCTCAAAAATAGAGAGAGTTTATTCCAGATTATCTGAGTGAGATCAACATAGGCAAGAACATTACTTTTTAAGACTCACCTCAAGTGTGACCTCCTCTGTGTGAACCTTGTCTGACACTCACATACCAAGAACTGACACCACTTCTATATTTTACAGATAAGGCATTCCGCATGTAACCCCCATGGGGCAGATGACAACAAGTATCTAGAACACATTCCGTGAAGCCTGGAAGAGACCATGCCAGGATATAGTGGAGGCTTCCCACAAACGATCCAAATGGATACAAAATATGTACATTATGAGAGATACCTCCTAGTAGTTCTTCATTTTTGGTCTATTTTTTATTTGGATTTCAGCTGTCTTGATGTTGAGATTTGAAAGTTCTTTATATATTCCAGATATGAGTCCCCTGACAGACATGTAGCTTGGTCCCAGTCTGTAGCTTATCTTTTCATCCTTTTAACCAAGGTTTTCCTAGAGCAGAAGTTCTTAATTTTGATTCAGTTCAATTTATCACTTTTTCCTTTCAGAGGTTATGCTTTTTATAAAATTTTTGTTTTTTCTATATTTTTATATTTTATTTTATATAATTCTTACATCATTTTCCATTTTTGCACAATGTATGCATTTTCATTTTGGTTATATTCCCCATACAATTCCCACCCTCCTTATTTTGACCCTAATCCCTCCTTTCCTCCCCCTCCCCGTAGTGTGTCTCTGGTTTATAATAGCTTGTTGATTTTTTCTTTATTATAATTAGTCTTTTTCCTGACCCCTTATTTAGGTTTTCTAAATTCCTGCTATGAGGTGAGACCATCTGGTATTTTTCTTTTTCTTTCTGGCTTATTTCACTAAGCATGATCCCTTCCAGCTCCATCCATGTTGCTGCAAATTGCATGAGTTTATCTTTTTGATTGCTGAGTAATATTCCATTGTGTATATGTACCACATCTTCTTGATCAAGTCATCTATTTTTGGGCATCTGGGTTGTTTGCAAAGCTAAGCTATTGTAAATAGTGCTGCTATAAACACAGGGGTGCAGGTGCCCTTTTGAAATAATGCTTCTGTGTCCTTTGGGTAAATACCTAGGAGTGGAATTGCTGGATCATATGGAAGCTCTATTTTTAGTACCATGCACAAAAACTAACTCAAAATGGATTAAAGAACTTGACATAAGACCTGAAACTATAAAATATATAGAAGGAAATATAGGCGAAACACTACATGACATGCACCTCAAAAATGTCTTTACAGGGCCTCCCCTGGTGGCGCAGCGGTTGAGTGCTGGGCTGCGAAGCTGCCCACAGCCTCTGCAGCACCCGCTCGATCCCTGGCTGCTGGCAAGGGTCCCACATTGCGCAACAGACCTCTCCTGTCTTGCCCGCTGCTCCCCTCAGCAGTGTATTTCATCAGTCTGCCTGTTCTGTTCTTCGCTCGGGCTCTGGCGAATTCTCTCACCCTCACCCTCTTCTGAGTGTACCCAGTTGCTTGTATAAATAAATAAATAAATCTTTTAAAAAAAAATCTTTACAGACAAATCATCCAAATCAGTGATAGTGAAAGCAAAGATAAACAGCTGGGACTACATCAAATTAAAGAGCTTCTGCACAGCAAAAGAGACAATAACCGAAACAAAGAGAAACCTCACCAACTGGGAGAACATTTTTGCACCCAACACTAATGATAAAGGACTGATCACAAAAATCTGCAAAGAGCTGATGAGACTCAACAAAAACAAAGGAAATAATCCAGTCAAAAAATGGGCAGAAGAACTAAAAAGACATTTCTCCAAAGAGGAAATGCAAATGGCCAACAGGCATATGAAAAAATGTTCAACATCACTTGTAATCAGGGAAATGCAAATCAGAGGTCATGCTTTTGAAGTCATGTCAATAAATTCATCAAACCCTCATTCTGTAAGATTTTCACTTATGTTTGCATTTTAAAAATATTTGTAGTTTTAACTTTTATATTTAAATCTATGATTCATTTAGTTTTTTCCCTTGTATAATGTGTCAGATTTAGTTTAACATTCATTTTATTTATTTATTTTTAAAGATTTATTTATTTATTATACAAGCACTGGGTACAGTCAGAAGTGCAGGAGGGTGAGAGAATTCACCAGAGCCAGAGCGGGGAGCAGAGCAGGCAGAAGGACCGAGGTACACTGCTGAGGGGAGCAGTGGGCGGCAGGAGAGGTCTGCGCGCCATGTGGGACCCTCCTCCGGTGGCCGGGGAGCAGCCAGGGATAGAACCAGCACTGCAGAGGCTGCGGGCAGCTTCACAACCCAGCGCTCAACCGCTGCGCCGCCGGGGAGGCCCAACATTCATTTTAATTACCTATGAATGTCCAATTGTTCCAGCACTATTTGTGAAAAGGCATTATTTCCTCTCTGAGTTGCTTTGGTACCTCTGTTAACAATCT